CGGGTCGAGCTGTGTGCACAGTCGAAGAATACCTAGTAGATAAACTGGCCTTCAGGAGACAAATGTCAGGACTTTTTCGAAGACCACGTTTTCCAAATAGATCCGTAACTATAGTGTTACAAATTTACGAAAGCCCACAACTAAAGTGAAGGGTTAATGTTCTAACCGCTTAAGATCGGAGGGGGCAGTGGTTAAACGAATTTACAATAATTCAAACACTAAATATGGCATTGAATCTCAATCAATAAACCTCAAAGTGGAACTAAGATATTATGTTGAAAGGTGATGTTCTAGCCAAGCTTATCACGTCCGTTTAGACATACGATTGTAATGTACTAGACATCTTTCCGATGAAAAATATAATCGATCAGGTTTCATAACCCGCTAAAATTCAAAATACAAGTGAAACTGGTGTCCAACACAACCATTTTGCTGGTGGACTACACTCGTTGCAAGTTTTCTTGAACAGAGAAAAAATTAATTTTAGATTTTCTGAACCTCGATATCAAAGTATCACTTAACGTTAAACCCAGAAGAGCAGGAAATTTGTAAAAAAACGTCCGGTTATAAAAGAAAGTAAATAAGTAACAAGATAAAATAAAAAAAATATCGGTAGGATATCGATGAAACCATTTCATAGGTCTGTTGAAATTTTTGAGCATTTTATTATTTCGAGCCTTTCAATATGGTTTTGTTGTAATTCTATCTGCACCTGGTTGTCGGACACGCTCTTCCGTCGACCTGAGGGCTAATTCTTTTTAGTTAAATTGAAAGGTCTTGGAATTGACACGCATTACTCCACGTTAGTCTTGTGCATACCCAACTGACCGATATTTACGAGCGAAGATTGATGGTCAATTGATCGTGTCCCCTTGTGTTTATTTCCCTGACATATCTGGTTTGTATTTCACTTTATTAACTAATGGCATATAGCGCAAAGTTAGGTCAGTGGAGTATGCAGATAATTTAAAATTATGCGGTTTAATGAAAACCATGCTTCCACGCAATTTCGTAATCACCTGTAAAAGGTGTTTCTCAGAGGTTCGGTAAAAATAGTACCCAAATTATACACTAAAGGAATATTATCTGTTCTTATTATTATTCGTGAATTTTGATTACCAGCGAAATCACTTTTAAAGCTTTCCGAACTCAAGAACTAGTATTTTGATTTACTAAACTAATAAAATACGATTTCTTCCCCTTGGTATTGGCTTTGTAGTTAGAATCTCTTAGCTAGCTTAACGTGTGCCTCAGGGATCCTTTATGGGAACTGTCTGGAATTGTTGGTTGCCAATTCAAGGCTACAACATTTTATGGATCTCAGGTTTTATGGATTTCAGGAAGTCAAATCTTTACCAGACCACTGCTGTACGCGACGTTCAGCCAAAATATACACCCTCTGAATCAGAAGTTACAACGAGTGCTCTATTTTACAACATCTAGCGGCATTCCCGACCTGGGGGAGATGCATATATGGAGCGAATATTTCCACAAAAATTCATCGGACATTACGTTCACGTAATCATTTTTCTAGTAAATGTCGGCATAGTAACTTGAACGGCTAATTTTGGCTAAGAAAATGAAGAATAGCTAATTCAAGCTAGTAGAATATACCATACAGCTACTGTGAATGCATAAAAGTAAATTTTGAGTAATGCTGCATTGGAAACCCAATATGCTCAAGTTTCTTACATTAAATCATTTACAAATGTCCTCTAAAAGTTTATTTGGTGCCCACAGAATACACCTTTGAAAAAGAAACATCCCCATAGGAGCGATTGTTTGTAAAAAATCTTAGGAGGATTTATGGGGTTATTAGGAGTTTTACGGACCGTCAGGTGAAGTCCTTGACGTTTTGAGCTTTACCTGCCGCGAGCGGCATTTCAACAAAAATGCCGTTGCTTTGTCTGAAATGATCAGCTGCGTCCTGTATAGTCTCCAATTGAATGCGAAAGCTATTCATATACCCTTTACTAGGTCGATACCTGGGCTAATTTGCGTTCATTATATGTGAGAGAAACGTTGTAAAGGTTTGTTCCTATCTGCGGATGGTAGAAGCTTTGCTAATTTCGATTAAAAATTGGCTAATTTCAAGATCGGCTGAACTGGATCATATAAAACACAGGTCATCTGACCGCATCTTACACCATAAGTGTAACGGAACAAAGATTGGTTAAATAATAGACTTGTAATATATTTACTGGTTTACTTTAGCTACTGAAAAAATGTAATGTCATTAAACATGGAACAACACGATAGCCAACATTTGAGTTTGCCCCTGTTGGTCCTTTACTAAGAATCATGATCATCTATTCCAGTTTTAAGTTTACTCATATGGTAATACCCAATGACGATTTCCATGTTGGCAGTAACCTTTGTCTTCAAGCGGTTAGAACCGTTTTTCATAATCCCTGATCGCGGACGACGATTTGGTCCATCCAATTGCCTATGCGATAGTTTTGTCTATGCGATAGTAGATAGTAGATAGTATTGCCTACGCGATAGATAACACTAATAAAATTAACATAATTTTTTTCTTATAAAAAATTGTTTGCCCAAAAAAAAATCTTCTAATATATTTTTTAAGATAACACATCTTGAACTTTTGTGAAATCAGTAAAATAAATTTCAAGTTAAATATTGGCGTCTAGATAAAAAGGTACGACTGTAATTGCTTCGTTGCGAGCATGACAACGGGCAATACCTCGCAAATTAATAATACAATAACTACATAAAATTAATAAAAAGAAAAACCTTAAATTCACGTTTCTAGCAGAGCAACGCTGACGCCGTTTGATCCATGAGCAATGCAGTTGCTGGCTTCTCATTAAGCGTACTATACGCATAACTCAAACATTAACGAACTAAACTAATAATGATCGCGTCTTTCGAGATCTTCTTCTATCGATCGACACTCTCCCCTAAAAGTGTTAAGTTAGGTTGGTTTTTAAGAACTTTTTGAGCTAGTTCGTAACAAGCTTTTGTGTTTTTTTGGCCCTGCTTTAGATCGCCGTCGTTCGTCAAAATCGACTCAGCCCACCGCTCAATGCAAGGCAACTATACCTGCCGGGTGGAGACCGATAAGGGTGTTTCCGAGAATGACTTTTATCTCATTGTGATAGTCGACTCGTGCAAAGAACAATCCTGGACAACGTACTCCGACAGAATAGGTAAGTCATCTTTAGATATGCCACAAGTGGGGTTCGTTTGAAATCAGTGCGGGTCGTCGGAGCAATTGGTCGATTTGCCACTACAACATACATGATCTTTTTGGTAAGGCTGTACCAAAACCACTTGTGTGTCTATGGTCCCGCTCATAGTTATTACCTGGCTTCGTTTTCTTTATTTTAAAAATTGTATTCTTTTTTTTTCATTTTACTTATTAAACGATATGTTCTCACTCGTTACTTCCTAACCTCTTGTTTTGTGCAATGTAACCGAAGCCTTTATTAGACCAAGATAATTCAAGCAAATTCAGTCAGGTATAAAAATGACTTAGTTCCAATGGTGACCTGGTTGAGTTACAATTTTACTTGTTAATATTTTGTTGTTTAAATATCACTTGCTAGCTAACTAGAAAGAGTTTGACAGCGAAAAAAAAATCATTACTGGCATAGCTTTCTACCTAGCAAGCATTTCTTATAGTTTATAGTAAAAAAAAAAACTTGCAAGAAATAGCTGGGACTGCCCGGTTGTTTTGGCACTAATTAATTCTGGTACATAGTCTGATACTGGTACTTAGTGAGCAATCAAGTGATACAAAATGTAGTCGACCTCATTTCGCATTTATTAGCCGTGATAAAGATATAACTAACCTGTAGTTCGTTGCATGGTATTGGTAGCAATGAGCTAACCCACATTTTCGGCAAACATCAACATCTCTGACGGTAGATCCTGTGCGTCGCAAACCTGAACACTGCTTTAGGAGTATCGGTTTGCTGTGCATACGGCTTGTTGTCCAATTCGTTTCATCGATTCATGAGAAAAAGAATCAGATTAAGCGAAAGTTTCAAATAAACCAAGGATTTCAACTTATTATGGCGTGTGGGTCAAGAAAGCAGTGTTTCCTGTTGAAGTATGAGGCTTCGTCGCTTCTTTCAAAAATGCTGGTTTAATGAAACATGGAAGAGGTATTTTAAACTTTGCTGTCACTTCATGGAAATGATGAAAAGGCGATGGCATATCAAAAAAGATGATTCGACGGTTGAATCCAGTACATTCTATTTTTCTCAAGATCCTATTTATAGCTGTTAGCACGGATTTATTCTCTATTGATCGGTACTTAGTATCCGACATGTACTCATTTTCCTCAGCATATTCTAGCTTTTTTTCATTTTTATCAGCCAGATATTTTATCAGCCACTTCATCGAATGTGCGGGTTCCTTTTAGGTTCGCTTTTTTAGATTAACGCAAAGACACTGCAAAGAAGGACGTTGATGAAGATTCGGGGAAAAATCTCAAAAACTAGGGGTGTTAGGGCTACAACCGATTAGAGCTATCGACCGGTATTTGCTATCGATGCATCCCTAATCTGGCTACCGCTGAAACTTAAGGATTTGGATTTGCATAAGGAGTATCGGCTTCATGGAGAGCTGAATGCAGAAGTAGTGTCGATTATTAAGCTATTTTCAGCTTGTGATTTTGAAGATGCCGGTCTTGAAAAATGAAAACGAATCATGAAAGGTTCGAAGAAATTCAACGAGCTTTCCAAGCTGTCTGGTATAAACAGGAGTTTATTTCGAGATTTAAGATTACCAATTTATACTTATATATATATCTATGACAAATTCCGACAGTAATCTATTAACGTAACCCACTAAACAGTGATGTAATTCTCATTCCTTAAAGTTGTGTGAAAAGTATGGCACAGAACTGTTAATATGAAACTGTAAAAGAGAGTTCACAGTAAAATATTTTTTCGTTCACCAAAAGCCGTTCGCAAGAATCGTCGATATGGAAAGGAGCTCAAGTGCCAACTGTCTATGTTCTAAGTTGAATAAAGATGGAAAGTCTACAAATTCTATATATGGCCTTTATAGATCAAGGTTGTGCCTAGTATATCATTAGGATTTAGGGCGTAATCATAGTGGATGCGTCGTTCACGACCGGATCCGCGTAGCTCACCGCAGATGAGTGACGTTTAGTCAAGAACAACAATAAGTAGGACCGGAAGGATACTTTGTAAATGCTTTTATATACCTAATCTAAACGCTGCGCATTTTATAACAAATTAGAAAACAGATGCCCTTTGCGAACCCGTGAGCAATTTACTATAAGGTAGAAGTCTTCTTGTTTCCTTGAGCAACCAGTACTAATTCTACAACGTCGATTTACCTGGTCGCTTTGTGACTGCCTTGACGTTGATACAGAGACTGATCCCAATTAATATGCTCTTACCCGCGCTTAACTTATTGGTTAACTGCATACATATCTGCACAATTGGTGCTAAATAACTTAATCATTGATTTCAACTCGGTCCTGCGAACGAGAATATTCGCGCATGTTCTATTATTTGGAATCGTCAGGGTCTGTCAAAATCATCCGCTAACATTAGTGAATTTCCGTGATTGCAACAACTGCACCATATCTTAATGAGTGAACCTATTGAGCCTCTTTTCAATTGAATTGACTGTTTTAGTTTGGTTCCACATATACCGCTGCCCTACAATTGCCTTCGGCTACAGGAACTTTTCTACCGTCTAATTTTGAGCTCCAGAAATCGATACTCCTTTATTGAGGAGTCTTACATTGCTCATTTGACAAACAGGATGATTCTTTGTGCCGTACGTGTAGGCTTTGTAGATCAGGTTTCGATGAAAGTAGCACGCTGATGAGGGTAGTTGGTGATGCTGATTTATACACTGTTTTGTGGGTCTATCAAATGATTCAATTAGATTAAAAAAAAATTGCTTTTAAAAAACCTTCGTTTTTTTCATTTTTTTTATTACTTATTTTGTTCCGTCAGCCTATTATAACAGCACTCTGCTGTGAGTACAATATCAACCGAGAAGAACTTTTTAAAGACAGATGTTTCAGGTGGAAATGCATTTTTTCGATGGGTAAGGGAACTGCTTAAGGGTGGCTTATCGAGTTTGAAAACAGGATCCGGAACCTAGAAGGATGCCTCCTGCTCTGAGTTCGATGACGACCATCTAAAAACACTTTTGAAAGAAGACGCCACAATGACCGATTTTCGCACACTTGTCACGAGTCCGAAGAGATGAGTCAAAGGACCAACCCATGCCCAAGCAGATGTTTATCCAAAAAAGATTACACTTTGCGTTTGTAGGTTTCAGAAGGCCCGATTCACTGGGAACTACTTCCTACCAACCAAAAGATGGATGAGTACGTTCATTCTGTCCAGTTGCATTGAATCAAGCAGGTTATTCAAGAGAAGAGATGAAAAAAAGCAAGTCAGATTATTTTGGTCTATAATAACACAAGCACGTGGAAACATCGCCAAAGCTGCCCTCTTAGACTTCAAATAAAAAGTTGTGTTGCGCCTTCTATATTTTTCGAATCTTTCAGTAATAGATATTCACCTTTTTCATTTATTTATCAGTTCCGCCGCCTCAGATTAAGAACTCAAAATTGAAAAATTTCTTTTGGACAGGTGTAACTTAGCGTCAAAGGAATAAGGTAACGTGGTGTTTTCTATTCAGTAAGAAAGTATAGCAGCTTTGAACAAATAGCTTCTGCGGTTATAAGATAACTCTCTCTTTACATATATATATATATAGACACACATTAATGAGGCGCTTTTCCAATAAATTCTATATCCTAGGTATTATTGGATGTGAGAGATACTGCGTACCGGCCGACAATTTTTACATAATTAAATAGTATACTCTTATTTTGTACAATCTGCATGTATGTGTGTGCGTCCTGTATCAGTAATTTCCACATTGAGTGCCTCGAAATGCGTAACCATGGTAACATCTCTTACATGGAACAGTGAGGTCGCTTCCTCCTTAGAAATTAGCCTCTTCGGACCTGTAATCATCTTTGTTGCACGCCGTGCATTCCTTACGAGTACTGTAAGTCCTTTTGCTCGACAGCGTTTCCAAGATGTGCGATTTCATGTCAATTCAGATACTGAGTAAGTTGCTGTTTGGTCGCATGCGAAAAATTTGCTTTTTAGTTTTCGTTGATTCGTATTATTGACCTGTTGATCGAAGTGTGTTACTTATTTGTCACCCTAGATGTTGAAGGAACAAGTTGATCCATTATTTGCTTAGCATTGTCACAAATTGCTCTGAAAACGCGTTTGCCCTTGGACTTGGGCATATATAGCAATACCACGGTATTTCAAGATGGAAGGCTCATACATGTAAGTGAAAAAGTCACATCGCTTTGAAGCGAAACAAATCAAGCGAGAATCGTATAACAGTAGAATATCGGCAAAATAAGACAAACGATGCCTAATAAATCTTAGTAACTTCGACAGGAGTACTTTCTTATTTTCGTTGTTATGAATGAAGCTTGAGTTAGAAGTTTCAAAGATGGCCGTGTGGCGAATACGCTGCGTAACTCAGGCGCTTAGTTAATTAAGTTAACGATTATTATTGTATTACGGTTATTATACGCCGGCTAGCGGCGGTTGGCAGATTTGTGTTGCTTTATGTTGTTGAGTTGCCCACCAGGCTTGGAACTTACATATCTGGAAAATCGCGAAAATGCTGTGCGATTATAGCTCATTAGAAAGGATTTGATGCGCTGGTGTGTCTTGATTCCTTGACAATATAGAAACGTTGCTAACGGCATCATGGTAGATCGTTAGCACAATGTTCACATGCTCGTCTTGCCTCGAACGAAGACATAACTATTGGTCCAAGAAGGGATCTATAAAGGTGCAGGAAGACGTGTTCTGGGCAATTCGAGCTGGCAGACTTGATAGATAACATAACAATGCATGTATACACTCGCATGACCAGTAGCGGAAAAGTTGGAGATTCGTATAGAGGATAAACCTACGTGCGTCTAAACTGAAATTTCGTACAAAGCCGTGTGTTATTAAATCCTCGTCCAAAGCACCTTAAAAATTAACAAACGATTGGTCAGGAAAGACCTGAAAGAATCGCAAATAACGGGAAAAATGTCATAGTAGAAAATTCTTTTTTAGGAAAGGGTCGTCCGAGAAAATGTCAAATGACCTTATAACATTCATTG